TCACAATAGTTCAGGGTTAATAAAGTTAAAAGGTCAGTAAATCCCTAATTCAGAATTAGAAATTAATTGACTACTATATACTACCATATGTATATATAGACTACTGTAGGTTAAATTGTGTCCCCAAAAAGATACGTTGAAGTCCTAACCCAAGACACTTGTGAATGGTATCTTATTTGAAAATAGGTTCTTTGTAGATGTTGTCAAGCTAAGATGAGGTCATACTGAATTAGAATGGTTTTAGAAAATTTATATTTATTTCTGTAGTTGGGGTAGCTTCTACCCACATGTTTCTGCCTCACATACTTGGGTATGGTCAGCCCAATGTGTGAAACTGCAAGATTTAAATAGTATTAAGAAATTTAAAACTAGACAGAGATAAATGAGAGACCAAACCATTGAGAATAATGCAGGATGGAAGATCTTCCTAACCTGGCCCTGGTACCTTCCAGACTGAACACAATAGAAAAATTTATAGGCATTAGAATTATATAAACAGACAACTTTTAAAAGTATGTATTTCATATTTTTATAATTTATGTTCTTTCAGAAAAATTTGAAAATTAGCAAATGAAATCTAAAATATAATATTCCCACATATCTTGATGGTCCCCATTCTAAGGTCACTGTTGTTGCATTATGAATCTATTGGGAAATAACCACAGAAAAATAATGATCAAAATATTATTGCAATTTCTAGTATATTTGTGTTGAACAGTGTAGTTGTGGTCTTGATCTGTGATGAGAATCACTTTTTCTAATCTTTTATCCCAGCTTTTTTGGGGGATGTCCCACTGAGGCATATACCTACCCAGCCAGCTGTCAGAATTGCAGACTCGTATCTACTGATTTCAAATAGCAAAGAAAATAGAGAAGACACACGCTGATTCTCATCTCTGTGTATTAGTACCTTGGCACAGAACTGAAGGTTAATCCCTCAATTCTCGGGGTAATCCATTTTCCCAATTTCACTAACCAGATGACTCATCTGGAGATGGAAAGACGAATGGTGATCATTTTACCAATACTTCCAAATGAGAGTGAGTATTTCTATTTTATGATCAAATAAGAGCAAAAAGAAAAGTGAAAATGATTTCTTTATCCAATAGTATTTTGATCTCTAAATGTTAGAAGAGTGTGTGTGCACACACGTGCACTCATTTTGTGGCACTTCCTGCATTTCTTCTAATTTCAGTAAACGCATCTCTATATAATGTATTTATATACATACATGTATAAACATATCTAGATATCAAATAGACATGAAATTAGTTTCTTAAGGAGCTTTAAAAGTCATCTAGTCCAATATCATTTGAACAATGCTTGAATTTTCTTTGAAACGTCTCCTGAGGACATAAGAGGGTATAGGACTCCATCCTCGACGATATAGCCTAAGTCTTTCTTACCATTCATTTCTTCTTAAAAAAGAATGGTCTTCTTCTTCTCAAAACCTTTTGCCTTGTCATTTAAATATATATGTCCTAATTTTGCTTCTTTGGTCTCCACATAACAAGTGCCATTCCACATGACAATCCATCATATTGTTAAAAGAACAATTATTTCGTTTTCTACCATCTTCTTTCATTTAGGCTAAACACTTCTAGTTTCTTCAACGTAATTCTTGCCAAGAACAGCCAATGAATACACACTCTTCTGATGCCCATAAGGTGGAAGGGAGACTATGTTAGAAAGAGCTTTTCAATTGGGTAACAGCTATAATATCCTCTGTATACCAAAGAAAAGGGTTAAGTTGTCACAGAAAGCTACTTCTTATTGTCCTTGCAAAATCCAACTTCCTTACTAATGAGGTCTCATTAGTGGTTTAAAAATATCTCTTTTGAAAAATTTCTTTCATTAAGTGTAGTAATTAAATACACTCATTACTGTGATTAAGAGTATGAAGATATTTCTCATAATAAATTTGTGTAGACCTGTGACATAATGTGCACATGTTTAATATAAATAGAAGTAAAGGGAAACATCAATCCACAAGCCCCCAAACTAAATAATAACTTATCTTACAAATGTTGTAGTGCCCTATTAATCAGGAAAACTAATTTAGACCAGGTCTGGTATCCATCCTTAGGTTGTGCCACTTTAATTTAGGCAGGATATAGAAAAACTAGAACTTACTCAGAGAAAAATCCATCGGGATGTCAAAGGGATTTGAGTGCTGGGGCTTTTTCCAGTTGTTTCAAAATTTTGTGCACCTACTGTCTAACATGTTGTCTAGCACATAGTGGGCACTCAATCTGTAAGAGTCATTGAATAAAAGACACTTGAAGACGTCCCATGTAGGAATAATCAAACATGTTGAGAAAATTATTTTTGGAAAGGGATGGTTCAGAGAGAAGATGACAATGGCCTTCAAGTGTCCAAAGTGGTGTTTTTTGGGAAAGAAGTTATTTTGGTCAAAATTTACTCAAGGAATGTTTTAACAAGGTCTTTCAAACTCTGTGGATTGGTGATACACACACACACACACACACACACACACACACACACACACACGCACACACACACAGAGAGAGAGAGAGAGAACACTACATTCACTTGTGGCTGGCATTCTGTTGCTTAAAAACTCATTACAGGGCCAGCCAGATACCAGGGGTATGAGAGCCCTCTTGGAAAGCAAGTTCCATGTTTTCTCTCCTGTTTGAGAGAATTTTACCAAATGATCTGATAGAATTGTTTCTTGCTCCCCAAATTGTCTCATTTAGATCATTCAGAGGATTATGAGACTTTCATTTTTATCCATATCTTGACTTTGATCTCATATAGATGATCTGTCTTTTATCCATCTCAGTCAAAAAAATATCTAGTCCATAGGTCGCCAAACTTATCTTTGTAAGGGATCAGGTAGAAAGTAAATATGTATTAGGCTTTGGGGGTGAAGAGGTCTTGGTTGCAACTTCTCAGTTCTGCACTTGTACCACAAACACAGTCATAGACAATATATGTGCAGAAATAAGTATGGCTATATTCCCATAAAACTGTATACACAAAAATAGATAGTAGACCGCATTTGGCCCACAGCCTGTGTGTTGCTGACCCCTGAAATAATCTAGCATGTAGTAGCTTTCACTCAAATACCAAGAGAAATACTTTTCTACCTGTAACAACGACAACTACGACAAACCCTAAGAGGAGAAAACACAGAAAACGATAACAACAAAACATTCTCCATGCCAACTGAGGCCAATCACTCTTTCAAAATATAACTTTCATAACAAAATCTAAATAGTTATAAGTACACAGTCAGGGGCACTGTTGAAAATGTACATTTTGTGCTGAGCAGCACTATAAATAATAGAATAATGATAACATTATTTTATATCTGCAATTCCTCCAGTATTTTCATTTCTAATTTATCTTCCATAAAATTTGAAGATAGAGCCAAAGTATTATCTGAAAGTGACATGATTGTAGGAGCACTGCCAACTACCATGGAAAGCTGATAATGCCTCCTGAGCAACCGATGGCCCCAGATTTTGAAGGTATATACAAAGGTTATTTTTTATGAAATTGGTGTTCTACACTGTATAAATCAATTTTAATGAAATATATATTTGTTTTCTTCAGGTTCTAATCTTGAAGTAAATTCAGATTCTGGGGCAGGAGAACAATGGATTGGATACACCAAAGCACAAGGTCAGTGTGAAATGTTTTCCAGTTGAGTTCCCTCCTGGGAGCTTGGGGGCCTGAAGGATTTTAATATTTTTTTCTACCCTTTCATGTTGCTTGACTGGGTCCTGGAGGTCCAGGTTTGAGCAACCTGCAGTGAAGGTCAGTAATTTTCTTTGTCCATTTACAAAGTCACAAGTATTTTATAACATATGGTACCTATGGAAACATAAAAAAATTGATATTATTTTCTAAAAGATGGTCGTATAACCTGATACACCTAATTCTTAGGATTAGATGCTGAATGTCCTAAACCTCTTTGATGCATAGCTAAAGGGATGGGCTTTGGAAAGACTGAATTAGCTACCTCCATGTATTCATTGTTACTTTCCATGTCTAATGCTATTTTTTTTATCTTCTTTTCTGATTATATTAATATCTGACTATGTGTTGATCACTAGCCTGTGTGGATCCTTAGAGGAAAAAATAGAGGTAAATGATGCTGGCATTGAGATTCACAGAGAACACAGGGAATGAGGGGAATGGCAGGCCCTGGAGAGCTTATACCCAGGGCGGGGAAGGGATGGGCAGCCACTACTTAACTCAGCCAATCACACCTTGTAGGGTGCAGACCAGAGATTTCATTTCTTCTTAATGTGAAAGAGAAGCTGCATCTCCCAATTATAACATAAAAGCTTCCAATTTTTGAATACATTTTAACAGAAAGGCCGGGTGCAGTGGCTCATGCCTGTAATCCTAGCACTCTGGGAGACAGGGGGATCACTTAAGGTCAAGAACTCAAAACCAAAAAACCTCATGGGCCAAATACAACATGTTTGCAGGCCATACCTGCATCATGGGACATTGTGACTTCTGTTGGAAGCCCCCTGTGGAAAAGCGTCTCACCTGTTTTATTCACTGCTGCATCACTGCAGTTAGTAAAGTGAGTAGAACATGCAAGATGCTCAGTAAGTAGTTGTGGAATAAATGAACAAATGAGTGACTTTTTATTGTGAAAGGACATTCATATAAAGCTTTCTCTTAATTGGAGTGAGAGTGGTAATTTCTGCATCAGCCTTTGCTGTATAACTAACTGCTTCAAAATTTGGTGGCATAAAGCAATGACAAATTATTTGCTCACAATTATGTGGGATGGCAAATTAGGCATGTGCTATGGTCTGAATGAGGCCCTCATATGTGTTGAAATTAATGGTCCATGTGATAATATTAAGACATGGGGCCAATGAGGGGGTGATTAAGTTACGAGGGTGGAGGCCTTATGGATGGAATTAGGGTCTTAATAAAAGGGCTTGAGGGAGTGGGTTTACTCTGTCACCATGTGAGAACACAGCATTCAAGGCACCATCTTGGAAGCAGAGACTGAGGCCCTCATCAGACACTGAACCTACAGGCACCATGATCTTGGATTTTCCAGCCTTCAAAGCTGTGAGGAGGTAAGTTGCTGTTCTTTATAAATTGCTCGGTCCCAGGTATTTTGTTTTAGCAACACGAATGGGCTGAGACAGCATGATTTGGCTGCAACAGTTAATTCAGCTCCATGTGGTATTTGATGGGATCATATATGCATTTGTCATCAGATAGCAGGTTGCCTAAGAGCTGGCTGCTCTTGGACACCCCGCTCACATGACTGGGGCTATCAGCTAAAGGGCTGAAAGGCTTCCATGTGACTGCAGCATCATAATAGAATTTACATGGCAACTGGGCTTTAAAAAGACAAGCCCCAATGTGGAGGCAGTTATCAAGCTTCTGTTTGCATTACATTTGCTGCTTTTCCCATCGGCCAAAGCAAGTCCCAATCTAAGTCCGCATGGGAGGGAGTTGCACAAAGTTGTGAATACCAGGAAATGTGATTTGTTGGGGTGATTAATGTATTAATCCACTATAGAGAGTAATGGTATCTTAAAAAAAAAAAAAGACAACTTATTACTATGTATACAATAAATATAGTTTTTAAGGAATTAGGAGGATAATTTCTCCCTAGGCTAAAAAGATACATAATTTCTATGTCAGCTTCCTCTGTCCCTGAGATGACCCAGCTGTGATGGATAGAAAACAATATTTGGTCTATCTGTTGCTCTCCACCAAATAGACTAGCAACACTTATGTTCTTATTGCAAATTGTTAGTGACACCAAGCTTTGTTGTGATGCTGGTGTCAATGTTTTTCATTTAATCTGGGGCATTGTCCTTTATGCAAGGAAACCAGACCTCTAACTCATTTTACATAGGTCAGTGAGCAGCCCTCAGATAGTAATGACTCACTATTGACCTCATCAGGGAGGATTTGATCCAATGAACTATGGGTGAAGGGTTTTCTATTCCATTAGAGTGGGGACATCTCTTTCCTTTTGAAGAACACTTTAAAGAGTGTTTGTCACCTCACATAAGCTACATTAAATACATGTACTTCTTTTTTGTAGAAACAAAAGAAAGAAAACCTGAGCTGAGTAAGAATAAAACTAATGCTGGAGCAGGGTTATGAGAGGTAAGGGTACCTATTGTCACATATTTACACCTGGCCATGTATTCAGCACATGTTGATTGACTGAGTTGTGCAATAATGATATATAAATAGGAATGCTTGGTCTATATCATCAATTGCATGCATTCTATTCTTACATGAAGAAGCTGTCTGTGGAGTCGAGGATAACTGTTCTGAGAGTGGGAATTTTTTTCTGTTACCATCTTCCTAAGTAAATGGCTTTTTGATGTTGTAATTAATTTTGCTCTTTGAGAAGACTGGTTTCTTTACTTGCCAAAGGGCATTTATTGAGTATCTATCGTATTTTTCAGGTGTTCTAATTCAATTTTGACAATATTCTTAGAAGAATGTCAGTTTTATTTCTGCCACACAGATAAATAGTGGATCAGAAATATTTAATATTCTACAGAATAGAACTTAGCTAATAAGTAGCAAAGCTGGCATTTGAAAACAGATTTGGTCTGGCTCTGGTGTCCATTTAGTGTTCCTCCCCTTGACTGCAGAGGTTTCTAAGATACTGCTATGTCTGATTGAGTCTCACCAAGCCTAGGACTTGTTCCAGGATGAGAAGAAGTGGATGTCCCTGATGTAGCTCTGCTTTGGAATCATTGGCTTCTGCACAAAAGGCAATAAGATGAAAGATTTCTCATTTCATATGTGTAACCCAATATTAGCCATAATAGGCTAGGTAACACTGCAGTAACATCAACATGTACCTCAAAATCTCAGGATCTTAACACTACAAAAGTTTATTTATTTTTTTGCTCACATCACGGAATCCACATGAGTTGATAAATGACTTCTCATTGAAAGAGTTGCAAAAGCTCCACCATCTTGCAAATTCTGCATGTACACGCCACAGTTTTCTCAGTCAGAGAAAGTGGAGATTATGCAAGTGCTTCCTAGGTCTCTGCTCAAAAGTGACACATGTCATTTATAATCATATTATATTGCCTAAAATTGGTCTTACCATCTATAGGGTAGCTGAGAATTACCATCTTCTGTGTGCCTGGAAGGGGAAAAGAAGCAAATACTGGTGAATATTAGTTATGTTTGCCTGCGGAAAAACCAAAAACATAACAAAAAATAACATTTCTTGATACTTTGCTACAAAGCTAGAAATACAATAATCTCCCTTTATTTGAGGTTTCGCTTTCAATGGTTTTAATCACTCATGGTCAACCACGGTCCCAAAAATAGGTGAACATAGTATAATAAAATATTTTAAGATAGAGGCCACATTTGCATAACTTTTATTACGGTATATTGTTATAATTGTTCTAATTTATTATTAGTTATTGTTAATCTTTTACTATGTCCAATTTATAAATTAAGCTTTATCATGGGTATGTAATACAGGAAAAACTATAGTGTATATAGGGCTCTATGCTATCTTTGGCTTCAGAGATCCACTGGGGGTCATGGAACATATGTCTGGCAGATAAGGAAGGGCTACTGTATATTCTTTGGTTATGATAATGTTAAGAAAGCATTTATCAATCCTGTTCAAGTTCTAGTGCGTTAGTTCATTGCAGGCTGGGACTTTAACAGGACTGGATGCTCTATGTTGAGGCATGAAGCTGCCTACCACCTTCTTTGCTAATCATAATTTCTCTCTTCCAAGGGCAACAGCCCTGGAAAGGCTGTTCTAACCTTGCTCTGTGTACTAGCTATCTCGCTATGTGCCTTCTTTATACATTAGATCTGCTTCTGTTTACCATGTCTTCATTTTCAAATGAAATTAATGGAATAATGATGCTATCCTTGGCCCTAACACTGTTTTTCCTCTGGGTTACATTTGGCAATCAGAAGACCTGAGGCCTCTTTCCCTTTTAACATTACAGGAGGATATTCTAGTTAAGAAGACTCTTGGTTGAAAGTGACAATTGACAAGGCTTATTTATTTTTTTAATGGAATTTATCAACTTATGTAGTCAAATAGTTGAAGAGTAGATTTGGTCTCAAGTGTGTTGGATAGAAGGAGTTGAATAATGTAATTCTGGATTTGTTATTGCCTCTTCACTTCTTGGCTCTATTTCCTCTGTGTTGACAGGCTTTGCTTTTGAGGTTGCAAGAAGGCTGCCAGAAGCACTTAGGGCTATGTGCTTCCAAGTTCAACCCCATTGGGAAATAGAAGAACTTTTCTCAGGTTGCTTCAGTGAAGATGTGGAGATTAATTCTCTTCAGATGACATATATCATGTTCTAAGAAAAGCATTCTTCTTGGCATACCAGCTCACATTCTCTTCCTTTCATCGTTTACTTTCTTCTACAGTAAAGGATGGAAAACCAAATTCTTTACTTTCTAGATGTATTGGTTATATAAAACTGGCACTCAGAATTTATTCTTATCTTATTCTATGATGTTTTTTTAAAAAATACCATAGACTGAAAAAGTCAAAACTACATTTCCAAGACTCTTTCATAGATAGGATTCTAATGCAAATTAGAATTTTGCCTGCACATACTTAACATTTGGAAGGCAGAAATACATTAGAGATGATTTTCCTGTTGCTCTTGCTGTTTTCTGGACTCATACTTACCATTGCCACAGTATCTTTGTTTTTAGTACCTTGCTTTGGAGCTATCAGAAAGAATTTGCAACAGTAGTCAATAGCTAACCTCTATAATCTGATGCCCCATGACCAGATTTCTGGATGTAAGAAAACAATTATAATGAGAGTTATGGGGTTTTTTTGGCTTTCTAATCCTTTTTTAAAAATTTTTATATATATATTTATAATATATATATTTATATATATTAGAATATTATGGGAGTACAAATATTTAGGTTACATATATTGCCTTTCCCCCACCAGAGTCAGAGCTGCAAGTATGTCCATCCCCCAGATGGTGCATACCACACCCATTAGGAGTGAATATACCCGTCCCCTCCTTACCACTCCCACCTGTCTGACACCCAATGAATGTTACTACATATGTGCACATAAATGATGATCAATTAATAACAGTTTGATGGTGAGTACATGTGGTACTTGTTTTCCATTCTTGTGATACTCAGGAGAATGGGCTCTAGCTCTATCCAGGATAATATAAAAGGTGCTGGATCACCATTGTCTTTTTGTGGATGAGTAGTACTCCATGGTATACATATATCACATTTTATTAATCCACTCATATCTCTAATCCTGGCCTTCTGACCCCTGGTTTGTAGCTAGGATAATCTGGGCTTTAACTTACAATTTCAGTGGAGACATCCAAGTTTAACATGAGCCAATATGCATATTCCAGTTCAAATCCCAGGTCTGCTATTACGATGTATAAATGTAGACAAATTACTGAAAGTTTATCAATTTTTATTTCCCTTTATGAAAAGTGAGCATAGTGCTATGAAGTTTGGAAGTTGTAGAAGAGATTAAAGAAACCAATGTGTGCAATAGATGCCCTTTCCATCAGATCTTCCTTGCTATTTTCTGTTTGTGTGCCTTACTTTGTGATTGTCCTTTTCCCTTTTTATCTCCATCTTGCTGCCTTTCTAAGATCTAGAGCCTCATTTCAAGAGCATTTTCTTGCAAATGCTTCATGAAATCGGAAATGCCTTTCTCTTAAGTGACATTTGCAGGATCATGATCACCAAGAGGTGTTCAGCCCATTGTCTGGACACTCCTATAATTTGGAGCCATTGCCACCCTTCATACATAATGAGTGTGATGTGCACCAAATGGGGGATGGACACGCTTGAAGCTCTGACTAGGGGATGGGAGTGGGGGGCAAGGGCAATATAAGTAACCTTAACATTTGAACCCCCATAATATGCTGAAAAAATAAATAATAATTTTTAAAAAAGAAAATGGCATGCTATTTTCAAAGCAGATTATTTTTCAAAGGCAGAACCCTGTAAAATCCTAAGATTTAGGAGCATTCCAGCTTGCTGTTTCTGAAAATAATTCTTTCCTGATCAGTTCCTCTCCAGCCTTTAGCTTTGGGCGAGGCAATCACATTTTGTTGCCTTTATCCATTTGAAAGTTTCTCGCTATTTCAATTTATTTGAACCCATTTAAACAACACTAAAAAGGAAAACTCTTCCATATAAATTTAATTTCAATTACTCTGACTCTTTTGCATCTTCTGGCTATAATTTAAAACATTTTTCAGCCAGGCATGTTTAAAAGGTGATAATTCAGTTGACAGCTGGAGAAACTGGAATCATTAAAGGGAAATATAATTAACATTATTTTTAATGCAACCTAGCTTTTCTCTATGTTTTCAAAACACTAGGAGTGTTCTCGAATGTTTTGCAGCATTTCTTCCTTGCTGCATAACACAGGATTCAATTTATTTATTCATCCAGTCAATAAACAGTTATTGAACTTCTGTTATCTTCCAGGCCCATGGTAAGTTTTGGGGGCAACAATTTGGATAAGACATGGCTTCACCCCCTGTCTTTCTTCTTGTAACCAGGTTAGTTATAAGAAAATAGAAGAAAGTAATGAAAGGACAAAAATGAACATTATACAATTAGAACAAGAGGAAAAGAAAGAAAAGATGACAAAAGAATAGGAAGAGAATAAGCAGAGAAGAAAAACATTGCAAAGAGATGAAGGAGAAAAAAATTGAGTGTAAGAAGTGGTAGCAGAAAAAAAAGATATAAAGATTTTAAAAATGTGGTAGTATTGAGATTTATATACCGCTATTCTCATATGCATGCATGTAATTTCTTGTATTTTCTAGAACTCAAGTAACTTGGTAATAAGCCTTCCCCCTTCAGTTCCACTGATGTCAGCAAAGAATTTTAATCTTGTCATTTCAGGGTTGCAGTCTCTTCCAGTTTAAATTATAGACACTCTTCAGGTTAATTGTGGCTATTTATGATTTCTTTCCACCTTCCTCCTCTTTTCCCTTCTCCCAGAGTGTTGTGTGGCATGCTTATATGACATTATGGATGCAAATCTGTAGTCTGAATCCTGTTTCTGGGTAATTTCTTATTGTGCTGGTGACATATAAGTGGTTTCTCCTGTCCCAGTAATGGCCTCCAACCGTGAA